TCTGAGCCTGTTTTGAAGCCTATTTTTTGAAAGGTCATTAAATTTCTGACAAAAGTGTTTACAAAAAAATCATCTGAATCGGATCAGTTTTAGCTGTTATAGTATATATTGGTTTTTATACGCTGATTTTAATGGTGGTTTACATTGCTTGTTTCATCTAAGGAATCCTACCCTAATGATTTCACGGATCGGTTTTTAGGAAAATGAATCTATTTCAATTTTTTTTATTTATCAATTTTTTAATATTTAATATTTTTATCTTATGGACACATTTAAAGTTATATTTTTTTTAAATATATAGGAAAATCTTTTAAGTGGACACAATAGATTTTTAATTAAAATCATTGGAAACAATAGATAAATTGTCTTTACTCTACAACGCTTTCATTCAATATAATCGGAGGGATGGAAGAGGGTTATCACTATCTTTCTTTATTCTCAATTTTATTAATTAATTGTGCTTTACAATGTTTATGTCTATAAAACATCTAATTGTAGTTATTTTGTGGCGTTTATCTAAAATTTAAAATACCATATTAATAAATAGCAATAAGCTGATAGTTAACTGCAAGACTCTTGCGCAAGACCAAGACTAAGTGCGCATGGCCAAGACCAAGACCAAGAGTAAGTGCGCAAGACCAAGACTAGATTAGTTGACGCAAGACCAAGACGAGACCAAAGCGGTCTTGGTCTTGGTCTGGGCAACACTACCAACAAGCAAAGTGGGTTCCAATATTTTTTTTAAAGAGAAACCAAGTTGAGATATGTATTTCACATTTTAGAAAACCACCAAATACGAATTTTCATAGCAAACAAAAAATAAAAAATTTTTCAAGAAATGTGAGTCAAGGGGGACGGACCCCTTTGAATTTTTTCTGGAAATCACAAAAAATGTAATAACTTCAATACGACTTCAGCTATCTACAAGAAATTTTGCAGGAATATAGGGCCGCATAAACTACACAAAATGACACCGACAGGACCTTTGCAGACAAACTACAAATGGAGATAAAAAATAAAAACATATAAGAAGTTTTTGTTTATTTATTCCTTATGTAGACAAGAAATAAAAAAACCATTCCTACGGATTTAAAGAGCAATAATCAGCTTTCCAACGGATATAGTAACATCGAATTTGGAGAACACCCTAAGGAGTTATGAATGATTTAGTGGATGAATGGTTAGCTGCAGAGGGAAAATTCCAAAAGTGAAATGGTTTGTCGCTATGGTGACGAGATTAGGATCCCTCTTACCTTCTTATATATTATTTCTCAAATATATATCCCTTTTCCGGCTCTGAGTACATGAGCATATGAGTATTTGAAAGGTAACCAAAATCCCTACAAAACGTAAAAAAAAAATCATCTAAATCGGACTATGTGGTGCAATGATTATTAATTCTACTTTAAAGATTTTTTTCTTCATTTCAGTTTTGGATTACTCAAAAACTTTAAATCTATTGTAGTAATGATTGTTTTCATCAAGTAGATTTTAGTAGAATTTTATTTTTTTTTTAATCTTTAAAATTTTCAAGGGTATATATTAATAATAAAATTCATAATATGGAGGAAAAAGCATTTTTTTACCCTTATATATACTCCATGCTTGGATCATTTAAATGTATTAAAGTATGGAATTAATATATAAGGGTAAAATAAAGCTTTTTCCTCGATATTATAAATTTATTAGTAGATTTTCTTATTTAACAGAAAATGATGTAAAAGTATTTCTTAATCTACCCTACTTTCTCTTCTACTCTTCATTCGGAATTTAAAATTTTGGGGACCCTTTTCTTCCTGAGACGGTATACATTGTATCAATAAGTAATTATTCTCGCTAATTTCAAAACATTTGGTTTTGTAAAATTAATTATTAAATTTGTTATATTGCTATAAATATGGAATGTTATATACTTCATTTTAAATAAAATATTATCTATATATAAGCTTAAGACCCTACACCATGACCTTAACATCCCATTTGTCCTCGACATCATCCCATCCAGATTCTCAAACTTTCACCAGAACCTTATCCATCATCCAAATCCTCTAGCTCAATCCCTATCCAGCTCCAACCATCCCTACAAACCCCCTCGAAGGTTAAAACGGCAGTGGCCGCGAGATCTATTGTAAATATGCTTCTGGAGTCCTGGCAATGGCCAGCTTCTCCACTCAAGTCCTGAGCATCTGTGGCTCTAGTGTCCTCCTTCAGCCTCCACTGGCTTTTAATACTAGTGATGCGGCTGGAAATGTGGCACTGGGATCTCTGGAGTCCTGCTTTGCTTTCCACATGTGGGGAGAAAAGCCAGGCTCGGAGATTCCTGGGCGAATGTATATATTGTATATAGGTATGAATGTGTTTAGAAGTTGTTATTTTATTTTGTTTGTTTATTTATTTTTTTTATTTATTATTTTTTTCCTATTGATTTACTTTTCTTTTTATAAGTATTATTTATTTACTTCTTATATTTATAGTTAATTCTGTATTACTTGTATATACTGTATGAATGAGAACTTCTAGCCTTAATACTTATAGCCCTCCAACAGTGGCTGATTGTATTATTATCAATAAAAAAAAAAAAAAAAAAGAAATATATATAAGCTATAAGATTTTTATCATTTTAAAAATTTACTTGATTATTTTGAATGACAAAAGAAACATTTCTTTAGTTTTTTATTTTTATTTTCTGTTAATATAGACTGCTAGGTCAAAACGTACCTTCCAGAGAACTAAATTCAAAGTATTTAGCCTTCATCAGATATTTAAAGGCAATGTTTAGAAGCTTTTGTTGTTTCTTAGAACTTAAGAAAAAGTATATTATAATTATAAATTTAATGAAACTAGAAAGGGTTAATTTATGGATGGGTATAGATTATCATATTTATAAACTGATAACTTACTAAATAGAAGTATTAAACCTTTGCATAGAAACATTACTGAATGGAACATACAAAGATAATGTTTGTGCGAAGTATTCGCATGGGTCAGCTAGTTTATCCATATTTATGTAAGCTTAGGAGGATATGTACGAGGATTTGTCACAGAACGCGCGAAAAAACTGGTTTGATGTTATAAAACAATCACAAGTTATCGTCCCGGTGCCGAAGGGGGCTTTTACACTCTGGCATTAATCCAACGCCATATTTATTTTTACACTATTTTGCATAGTTTCCTGTATAGAAACCTGTGCTCCATAATCCCTAATTTTGAAAAAAAAAAAAATTTACTTACCTTTATATGAACTATATAGCAAGAGAAAGCATTGCGATATTGAAAATAATTGAATCCGAGTTTTCTACGAAAATACACGTTTTGAGGTACCCTGAGTCATAACAACCAAGTAATGTAAAATGGTGTATGTATGTGACCTTTCTAGCTCAAAAATAAGAAGTCATACGTAACTGACATTACATATTTAAATTAATATATGCCTGTAATGTTACTGCATCTTTTTCGTACGTATTGCAATGTAAACAGTAAAAACCAGATGCCAAATATACATAAGATATATCAGCTAATCATCATATCATACAACTCACGAAATCACACCATCTTATAATAACATACCTAATATGAAAAGTATAACACGATAATCAGAACCAATAAAGTTTATATCAATAATATGTATGGCCACGGAAACATATAAGTAGATCCTTATATGGAATAAATTCGAAAAACTTAAATGAATCGAAACGCAAAGGCATAATCTTTGAATGGAGGTTATTTCCAAAAACTACGCATACTATAACTGACCCATACATTGAATAATTCAATAAATAAAAAATGTCGATTTCGATAACTTTTTCTTCATTTTTTAGAGAATTTAGTAAGCTTTCAAATACTCATATGCATAATGGGCCAAAAATTACGTCCTTTCCGAGTTATTCCCAAATTATGAACTCATTTGGAACGTCTCGATTCGTTGAAACAGCACCATCATATGGGTTGAAACTTCCCACTTTTACATTCACTTTTATTTAAGTTCAGGTATAAAATTAGGAATTAAAAATACGATTAGCGCACTCTACATGATATTCCCTTTCTATTGATACCTCATTTGTCAAAATCCATCACTCCTCAGAGCCGGAAAAGGGATATATATTTGAGAAATAATATATAAAATTTAGAAAATCAAAGGTAATTTATTGATGACATACAGTATTAACATATATTTACCTTACTATGATTACACTTAATTACTAATTAGTTAGGGTGTTAAAATGTCAGTCTTAGGAAATACGATTTTTTTTTTTTATTCTACCTTTACTTGCTCATTTTTTTAAGAATAGGTGAGCAATAAAATATCTTGGGAATGGTGCAGGGTAGGTTCTTGCACCATGGACCTTGAGGGAGATGGGCATCCCTGATAATAAGGAAAAAATAAATGAAGCTATATAAACTTTATTGGTTCTGATTATAGTGTTATACTTTTCCTATTTGGTATGTTATTTTAAGATGGTGTGATTATGAGAGTTGTAATATTTTAGCTGGGGTATATTATTTATATTTGGCTTTCAGTTTTTTTGGACTGTTTACATTATTTTCCACTTCCTTTTCACAATTTTTTTTTTCATTTTATCCAAATATCTTTTACTTTGACTATTAGGATTTGACACTGGCTAATATGTTTTATGATAATAGAAAGGCTTCATTTTAGAAAATCAAAGGTAATTTATTGATGATATACAATATTAACATATATTTACATAACTATAATTACACTTAATTACTAATTAGCTATATTGTTAAAATGTCAGTCTTTCCTAAGTGAAGGTACATTGTTGTTGGAGCTTGAAGATCCCTCATTTCTCATGCAGCAAATGTAATCATGATGTACTAAAAAGGAAAAATGTTAATTTAATTTCTAAACCTATAGTTGTAAATACATAAATATATACCACCAAACTAAATGGCATGTTATCATTGATTTCTGGATACTAACAAATAAATATATTTCTAATAAAAAATTCTATTATAATAATTATCGCACTACCTGGCTGTCAGTATGCTGAAACCGGGGTGCAATTAAATTCATCCTCTATTTGTTCCTCTGAGCTTGATGGAGGTAAAATAATTACTGCTTTGCAGGTATATTTTCTGTGAGATTTTGCATCTTGTGCATCAAAATATACTGTAAGTTTGATTCCATTTATGACCTGAAAGAGGCATGGTAAATTTTTGTTAGAGGTTACTAAGATAGGTAATCAATTTTTTTTTTTTTAAATTATTGCAATTACCTGGGATGTAGCTTTGTTGATTTTGACAAGAGATAGTTTTTGGCTTGTGTGAGATTCTTTGTTGAGTTTGTATAATGTTTTTTCTAAAGATTGTTTGATGAAAGCACTGTTTGGATCTTTTTCAATAGGGCAACCGGCACACTTCTATGCATGAAAAAAAAAATATAAATAAAATATTCCTTTTATAAACTTTTGCTTAGTTTGTATGCATTATAAAAATATCATAATTTGGTTAATTTTTGGAATTTACTCAAATCATGCTGCTGAATTATACATTTTTAAGTAATTACCTCAAAGTAATTGGACTGCAATGGTTGACATTGAACCACAGTTACTTGCTTAAACTTCATCCAGGGCTTTAACCACACTTGGACATCACAAACTTGGTGACCCTATTAATATTTTTATTATTGAAGAGCTTCACTAATGATATTTATGTTTAAAAAATAAATAAAGAAAGAATAATACTTGTAATTTATGTTGGCAGTCAGCATCAGCAGAATTAAGTTTCAGATGACAATTCGTAATTCCAATTTGCACTGTAGTTTTAATTAGTATTCCTTCCACTACCTAAATTAAATAATTTATATTAATTTATTTAAGTACTTTAACATTACAAAAATATCACATTTTGTTTTGGAAAAATACCCAAAATAACAAGAGATGTTATACCTGCTTTGTAGCTTTTAAATACTGCATGACAATCATCAGATATTCTGAATGTTGAACCTTGCCAATTTCTTGACTGATAAATGATTTCAATTCTTCAAGTTCATTATCCTTGTGTACGTCAATAATAATTTCTCCTCCAGGAAGTAGCCTAGAACATTTAATCCAACTATCAGAATACTTACTTCTAAATCCTAAAAAGTGTTAGATTAAGATCATACCAATTAATTTGTTATCAGAGCTTCAACAATTAACAGTTAGACGAAAATTATTTTTGGATGATACTAGTATTTTAAAAATCAAATAAGTATTTTAAAAATATAATCAAAGATACTCAATTATTGTAATTGGTAAAACTATTTACTTCAACTAGCAGATCAAATAAACAAACAATTAAAGTAAGAAAAAAATTATATGGTCTTCTCTGTTTTTAACAAATCTAAATAAATGTTATGTCACTTTTATGTTAATTGCTATCAACTGAAAAGACTAGCATTATTTAGAAATATATCTATATGTCGATATCTGAATTATATAGTAGGCAAGAGACCATATGGATGGCAAAAAACCAGATGAATAGATGGAATCAACAAAGATGCAATAGAGCTGCATGCAGATAGCTGGAAAGAAATATCACAAGATAGGCAGAGACGGAGAAGATCGAGTAAGGCGGTATGAGATTTGCAAGATCTGTAATACCAATGTACAAAAAAAGAAAAATAATTTGAATAACATAATTATTTATAGTATCTCTCCATACATACCTTCTGTTTGCATTTGAAATGAGAAGATTACAAGAGTATTCAGTAATTTTATCTGGCCCCAACCAAGGTTGCCTGAGCACTTTGAGACTGCAGTCATACATTTGGTTGGAATTCAGTCCTATTGCTTCAAATTGATAGGAGTATTGTATTCCAGAAACAACCTATACAAATATTTCTATTATAGGTCAGATAATAATTAATTATGATTAAATGTTTATTAATATTTAAATTATTAATAGCAGAACAGAAATGTTTTTACATTCTATATCAACCAATATATTTTTAGAAATGGCCTGTTAGCATTAATAATTGATACATAAATTTTAAATGATTAAAAAAAAGTTTTTAGGTCAATTAATTTTAATGTTTCGAATATAACTTATTACAATAAATTGTGTGCAATCTTCTAAGTATTTGCTTTTTGATTAGCTATATATTATATTAAAATTTAATTTATTAAAATAATATAATATTACCTGTTCTTGTGCATTTTTTACTCGAACCAACTCCAATTCCGTCTCAGTAACTGTTCCTTTAGGAATAACTCCCTTTAGGTCATGAAGTTTTTTACTCAAGTAATCATGGAGTTCTTGATCATGTATGTCTATATTCTTAGGGCAGCCAAGGCATCTCTATAAAGAATGTATATAATATTTAGAATATGTGTATAACATTAAGATTAATTTGAACTTGTGATAAATGAGTCCTATATTTACTTTTCCCAGAGAGAACTGAACTAATCCTAGAAAAAAGAAAAGAATGAAATGATTTAGGCCCATTTTGGATGAATGATCACTTTGTACCTCTCAGTAGTCAAACTTGAGAGTTGCTGCCGAAGTAAGAGACAATTTGCAGACCTCACACAGGATATTTATACTGTCCTCTCAAGTATTTCATTCTGATAAGCTTTCCACTCTCACCGTTACCTGCTGATTATATTTTTATTTCCTTGATATATTTGTCAAATACGATCTATTTATTTCATAAATTCAAATAATTTATTTAACACATCTTTACATACTAACTTACACAAACCAACTGATTAACAATTTACCCAACGATTTATACTAGTTTAAGTTAGAAATATTATACTGAATTATATTATATTATACTATATTATATTTACACATATAATTTTTTTGCTGTATTTTGATTGGTTTATGTGAAATAGTTTAGTTGTTGATTTAATACTAAAATGTATTTTATATGTCCTTGTACTCTTCTTGTTAAAGTAGTGAACGGTGGGTAACTATCAATATGAATCAATATTATTACTATTAATTGGCTCAGCTATTCTAAATGGAAGAGGGTCTTAGAAATAAGTTCCTGCTAGATCTCCCTATCCACCACTGATCTCCATTTTCTTATCTCAGTCTATGGAGTCATACACCTCCTTAAAATCAATAAAGACATAATGCAGATTCATTAAATAAAAATAAACATTTTTTTGTCGGATTCATTTTTAATTTAGTTAACGATTTTTGAGTGGGTGACATATTTACGAGATTATGAATATTTTTTTGGAGGGAAGCCATATTTACAAGATTATGATTTTTGGGGGAAAATATATTTTTGTGGGGTTTGAATTGAAGAGAAATCTCAAAACATGTGACAAAAGAAACAAATTAAACTCAAAATGTGATTATTTATTTACATTTGTCAGGTTTTTAAAACATGAAAAAACCGCCACAACCATGAAGTGGCAAGGGTAGGAGTGGGGACTAATAAATACTATGTTCATCTCTTAATCACCCACACCGGCGGATCTACGGGGGGGGGAGGGCTTTCGGGCTGAAGCTCCCCCAAAATGGTGAAATATAACCATGTTTTATAGAAAAAAAATATTAAAAACTATCTCTTAAAGTATTATTGTTCGTTTAATTACATTTAATAGGACTTCAAGAATCACTTAAACACCATCTCATATAAGTAGTTCATTTCTTTCTTTTTTTTCAAATTAATTATCGTTATATATATGAAAAAAAAATCTTTCGGGCTGAAGCCCCCTCAAAATTAAATCCTGGATCCGCTAGTGCCTGCAACAACCTGGAAGTTAAGAACTGGATGACATCGAATGGAGAAGACCAAGACCTGTAACTAGATTGTTGCGTCGTAAAATAACAGAACACATATAAATAGGGTGTCCTGTAAGTAGAGGGAAATATTTAAAAGGTTGATAGCAGACATCTTCAAAAAAGTTCATATAATCAATTGCCCAATTTCCAGCAGAAAAGTAAGAAATTTAAGATTTGTGATTTTTATACGACTCACGTTCTTCATTGAATACGAAGCGATAACTAAAAAATATTTTATTTAAGAAATTAAACATTACTGTACAGCAAACAAGACAAAATTTACTTTAAAAGAAAGTAGAGTTTATAATTGTTAGAACTATTTAAAGCGGATTATTGAGAGAACAAACATAGCTAAGGTCCGTTTAAAAAAAATTCATAAATTATTTCTTTTATCACTGTACTACATGTACCCCACTTTTAGTAAAAAACGGAAAACTCCCTCGTTTAGTAAACTTCAATTCCATATTAATTAAGCTGAGGTTTATTAGAGAAAATTTAGAGGCTCCCCTTAAGTTGTGTAAAGAAATGATGTGATTTTCTATGCAGACACCTAAAAGTGCCGGTGTTTTTTGCAAAAATAACTACAATTAACTGTTGCAAAGCTTCTACTTATTGTTTTTCCGTGTTAGGGGATATATTGTAATAAACAGAATTGTCTAAAAACACTTTTTATTTATAAAAATAATTTATCTTATTTATGGTTATGCAATTGTGTTTTACTCAATGATTTCTGTCATAGAAATTGATGCGTATTTATAGGTGACAAAGTTAATTTACGTTTTCATGAAAATAATTGAAGCAATCAGTAACTTTCTTTATTTTAAACGTAAATTTTAATATAAAACATTAAGTTTGTTACTGATAAATACTTATCGATTCCTATGACGGAGATCTGGGAATAAAACACAATTGCATAATCACTTTACACAGAAAATATTTGAAAAATCATTATTTTTAATTTTTATAAAAAAAATGTATTTTATTATTAGAATCAAAAGACTAAGATTCTACGGACACATTATAAGAATGGACCAAGGGAGACTGAACAAGAAAGTCTTTGACAGAATCTGTTAATACAAGAGCGTAAGAGGATATATTAAACAAACTAGAAAAGAAACAGAAAAATTGAAATAAAAAAAACACACACTGCCTGGATACGAAACAATACGGAAAAAAATTAAAAGAAATCAAGGTTCTTGTGGAAAATAAAGAAAAGCGGAGAGGTGCTGCGTGGTCGAAAGAGAGGAAGCAAAGGAACGAAGAAATGATGAGCAGATACTGAGAAAGAGAAAGACGAAAATGAGAAAGGAAAAGTATTGATATTCGCGTGGTCTTAAAAGGCCGTTTCGTGGAAACAAAAAATGTGTTTTTGAAGAAAAAGAAAATAGTGGATGATGCTCTCTGGGGATACCACTGAAATTTAACGCGCCGAAACTCTTCTAAAAGTTGTGTACGTAAATGAACAAAATAATGAATGTATACGAATTAAATAAATCAATCAAATATATACATTATTGGGCATTTAGGTGGAAGATTTAAAAGTTATGTTGAGTAATAAATGTAAAATTTTAGATGTTGATATCTCAGCCGGATACAACTAGTACCTAACCAAATTATATGTGTTTTGTTCATTGTGTCATGTGAAACAGAATGACATAAGTCACATTCTATAAACCGTCCCCCATGAAAGATATTGTAATTATAAAATCGGAAATCTGCACCTTTTTTTTTTTTTTTTTCCATCATAGCTTTCTTCAGAAGGGATTTTCGCAAAAAAGTAATAAATTATTTCCTTCTCAGAATTAAATTATCTTTGAGATGGCATACAACAAAATTTGAAATTTTCATTAGTTTGGAAAATACTTAAAAAAATATTTTTCCTTTTTTTGTCCCATTAGGTACTTAAATCCTCTTTGCAAACTCTTATGTCAACGTTCATATGAAAGAAATATACAAATTTTATCTGGAAGAACAAAATCTCAATTTTTAAAAGTTTTGACTACTGTGCGCCGGGCTGGAAGTGCCCGCCATTAGAAATTTTAAAAAAGAATACCAAGCGTAGGGGAAAAATTAATTTTAGCCTGTTAATAAAGTTAATTGATACTCTGGTCTATGCGCAAAACGCTTTATTAATTCTGTATTTACATGACTACCTTTCATTTAGTATTTCATTAAGTTTATTTCGGTAACGACGCAATCTCTACAACCTTCACTGTTACTTACAGCTTTTTAAAATCACAAGTTGCGGGTTTTATAAATTACAGGTTTTTACAAAAGGCCATAGAGAAGAACATGGACTATAAACTTCGTATATTTCATTTTGTGGGATCAGAATATGCGCCAGGACAAGATTGACCAGAAAGCTCAAAACATCATTTTCCATAGAAATTGTCTTTATCTTATAGGCTTTTGCAGTGTGGCGGTCGATGTACTTTTATATATTTTCACTTGAGCATAAAGTTTTCAGTTGAAAAAAAAATTCTATTATGAAGGCTTCAGTCCAAAAGTCCCTCCCTCTCTCAGTAATAGTAGATCCACCAGATACTGAGGTGCGAACATTGAACTGCTTTTCACAAACCGTGGTTATAACCAATCCATATAAATACTATAAAAATGAGGAATATTTTCTAGGAAACCAGACGAAAACACCAAATTTCAATAATAAATAAGATTCACTAATTTTAATTTATCATATTTCGAAATTGATTGGTGTTAGATCTTCCAATGTTTACTATGGTTCTTTTAACAGAATATCATGGAGTGTAACCGTTATTAAGTAATTATTCCCCGGTCAAATATATTAAGTACCTTGTACTGACAAATAAGATGTTTTATTTAATCTTGCGATTATTGGCTTGCAGACCCAGGGCTTCAGGTGCAATTAAATAATAAGATTTCATCAATACATTTTATCATTAGAAAACACTTGACATAAGATCGAAACACCCTTTTTCTTTTCTACAAACAAGTCAAGTGTTACACATTCAATTCAATTGAAATAAAAAAGTTCCACTTATGAACTGAGTACTTAAGGTGTTTACGATCCCCAAAAATATTTAAAACCTTTGGACTTTGCTAAGAGAGAAAGGAATATTCTGGAACTATGCTTCCATATGTCTACATTACAATTTGTGTCCATAATGTATATATTAAAATACAATAATTCTATCAAAAATGAGTTAATTTCTCAGTACTCGTTATTTTTTACAATCTTGATAGTTTGAGAAAAGAAAGCTACAAAACAGGATTAATTCTAATATTGTTTTAGGTAGTCTTATTATTTCTAAATAGTTGATTAATAACAAATTGATTAAACACAAAGCATACTTTCAATTCATCTATATTTCAATCTTTCAGATTGTAAGGATAAAGCATAGTTTTCATTAAATGTATTAATAATAACAATAAATTACTATGAAATAGCCCCTCCAATATTTCGCAGTCATTTGCTTAAAATGACTCAACAATTTCCAAAAAAAAAAAACGCTGCAAATTATTCCACAATGGTTTATTATTTCCAGACAATTATATATCTAAAGTAACATTACCTTCATAGTTACAAAGAAAAAAAAATAAATAGGTGATTCCAATTATTGGACTAAACTTTTTTTTTAATTGGTAAATTTTATATCATTGGTAATATGCTAAAAAAAATAGCATTACATCAGTAACATATTCAAAATTTAAAAACCAAACAAAGGATATAACATTTGGAGTAGAACATATTAAAAAAAACGGAGACCATATCTTTGCCCCTAATTGTCCGATTTTAACGATTTGTTTTTTGTTTTTTAGGAAATTTCGTAAAAAATCACATACATTATCTACAAAAAAGTGTAAACTTTTTGAGTTATTCGGAATTTAATTTTACCATCCCTCGTAACTTTTTTTCCAGCTTCTTTTCGTTGAAGTATGTCATATAGATAAATTTAAAGGGCGTTAAAAAAATGACTTTAGCGAAGTTTCATTGGAATCAGTACATTCTTTTAGGAGCTATAGTCTATAGCAACGCATGTTTTTCGGCCGCCATTTTAAAAGTAAAAGGCGGTAATGTCGATGAAGGAGGATCATCCTTGAGTGACCTCTGATTTTATATCCAAATTGGAAAATAATCGGTCCAGTAGTTTCGGAGAAAATGCGCGGACGGACAAAAAAATTTTTATTCGTTTTTCGAATTTTACGCATCCTGAAACGTGAAACCTCAAATTTTGAGAGGGGGTTAAGTTTTTGAATTTTTTGGTCGATCACAATGGTTGCTTATTGAAAGTAATAAACTAATATAAGTAATAATTATATTATATTCCCGGCAGTAAACTGATGACTAAGCTAATCCTTTAAAAAGTAATCTTTATCGTTGCGGAAAATGCAACGGGCCATATGTCAAAAAAATTGAACATTTAGTTAATCTTCATGGGAAAAACAATTACACAGATGTCTAACCCACCAAACTTCACGTAAGTCTCGACTTTATCCTATATTTTCTCTACTTCCATAGTTTTATGGTAATTATTGAAACCACACAAATAAGTAGGAGTACCCAACATTTTTGTAGCCTGCTCCATAACCAAGAGCTTTCCCATCCTCACTGAATATTTAATAAATAAATAATAAATAATAAATATTTCCGCTTATATGAAATTTGAGAATATAGGTACAAAACCAGATAAAGAACTAGATTTAATTTTTTTTATAGTTTATCGTTTATTTTTTTTCTGTTAGCGCTATGGACTTTGCCCGTATGTTGTGGTCTTCTTACATATATATATTGCTTGCAAGGGCCCAGATAGCCAGATGAGGGACAACCTCACGTTGCTACCAACCATGGCTTCCATATTGCAACAGCAACAACAACAACTACACCATCTATTAAGGTGACCAGATTTTAACATTTTAACATTGGTAAAGCGGGACACCATTGACCAGGGGAAGGGAGGGGTACACAATGATAATCTGGTACAAATGTTAATCAGGTGATAAAGCATATAGGTTGAGAATTTAGTTCTAAAAGCGTAGAGGGCGGGGTGGCCGAATGGGCTAAAGCGTGTGCACAGCACCGCGAGTTGCCTGGCAACTGGATAAACAGATTTGAGAAGATTAAAAAAAGTACGAGTTCGCGTCCCGGTGCCGGAGGAATTTTAAATCCCCCGCCCTCACCCCCCGGCCAGGGAAAATCCCGTATAGCCTAAAAGGCGAGGTAAGGAAGAACAAAAAAAAAAGTTCTAAAAGCGTATTTTTGATAGCGAATAATTTGATGATGTATTTGGACTTCTAATCTATGACTTCAATAGTAACAGTTTTTAAAACTTGAATGTTTTGTGACAGCAGTTTGTACCCAATCAAGTAGTTCTGTTACTTTTCTATATCAATGTTTAAGCACCGTACTATATTTGAAAATAGTCTCAGTTTGACTTAACTGCAAGACCTGCAAGACTTGCAGGGTCTGGTCTTGGTCTTGCGCAAGAATGGAGGGTTTGGTCTTGGTCTTGCAACAATTTTGGTGGTCTCGATCTTGCAAAAATGCAAGACCAAGACCAAGCGTGCAAGACCGAGACCAATTTTCTGCAACACTATTCGTTGGGTCGGTAGGAATTGTTACATTTCAAAATTTTATTCATACTATAAAAATATGCCAAATAAAAATTTGATGGAATAGAGCTCTCATGAGAAATATAAACCGAATATAAGTGTAAAAAAAAGAGAAAAGAAGAAAAAAAATTTTTATCAGACACAACTGTTTATTTCGATAACTTTTTCTTCATTTTTTAGAGAATTTAGTAAGCTTTCAAATACTCATATGCATAATGGGCCAAAAATGGCCTTTCCGAGTTATTCCCAAATTATGAATTCATTTGGAATGTCTCGATTCGTTGAAACGGCACCATCATATGGGTTGAAACTTCCCACTTTTACATTCACTTTTATTTAAGTCCAGGTATAAAATTAGGAATTAAAATTACGATTCGCGCACTCTACGTGATATTCCCTTTCTATTGATACCTCATTTGTCAAAATCCATCACTCCTCAGAGCCAGAAAAGGGATATATATTTGAGAAATAATATATAAAATTTAGAAAATCAAAGGTAATTTATTGATGACATACAGTATTAACATATATTTACCTTACTATGATTACACTTAATTACTAATTAGTTAGGGTGTTAAAATGTCAGTCTTAGGAAATAAGATTTTTTTTTATTCTACCTTTACTTGCTCATTTTTTTAAGAATAGGTGAGCAATAAAATATCTTGGGAATGGTGCAGAGTAGGTTCTTGCACCATGGACCTTGAGGGAGATGGGCATCCCTGATAATAAGGAAAAAATAAATGAAGTTATATAAACTTTATTGGTTCTGATTATAGTGTTATACTTTTTGTATTTGGTATGTTATTTTAAGATGGTGTGATTTCGAGAGTTGTAATATTTTAGCTGGGGTATATTATTTATATTTGGCTTTCAGTTTTTTTGGACTGTTTACATTATTTTCCATTTCCTTTTCTCAATTTTTTTTTTCATTTTATCCAAATATCTTTTACTTTGACTATTAGGATTTGACACTGGCTAATAGGTTTTATGGTAATAGAAAGGCTTCATTTTAGAAAATCAAAGGTAATTTATTGATGATATACAATATTAACATATATTTACATAACTATAATTACACTTAATTACTAATTAGCTATATTGTTAAAATGTCAGTCTTTCCTAAGTGAAGGTACATTGTTGTTGGAGTTTGAAGATCCCTCATTTCTCATGCAGCAAATGTAATCATGATGTACTAAAAAGGAAAAATGTTAATTTAATTTCTAAACCTATAGTTGTAAATACATAAATATATAGCACCAAACTAAATGGCATGTTATCATTGATTTCTGGATACTAACAAATAAATATATTTCTAATAAAAAATTCTATTATAATAATTATCGCACTACCTGGCTGTCAGTATGCTGAAACCGGGGTGCAATTAAATTCATCCTCTATTTGTTCCTCGGAGCTTGATGGAGGTAAAATAATTACTGCTTTGCAGGTATATTTTCTGTGAGATTTTGCATCTTGTGCATCAAAATATACTGTAAGTTTGATTCCATTTATGACCTGAAAGAGTCATGGTAAATTTTGGTTAGAGGTTACTAAGATAGGTAATCAAATTTATTTTTATTTTTTTAAATTATTGCGATTACCTGGGATGTAGCTTTGTTGATTTTGACAAGAGATAGTTTTTGGCTTGTGTGAGATTCTTTGTTGAGTTTGTATAATGTTTTTTCTAAAGATTGTTTGATGAAAGCACTGTTTGGATCTTTTTCAATAGGGCAACCAACACACTTCTATGCATGAAAAAAATAAATAAATAAATAAAATACTCCTTTTATTAACTTTTGCTTAGTTTTTATGCATTATAAAAATATCATAATTTGGTTGATTTTTGGATTTACTCAAATCATGCTGCTGAATTATACATTTTTAAGAAATTACCTCAAAGTAATTGGACTGCAATGGTTGACATTGAACCACAGTTACTTGCTTAAACTTCATCCAGGGCTTTAACCACACTTGGACATCACAAACTTGGTGACCCTATTAATATTTTTATTATTGAAGAGCTTCACTAATGATATTTATGTTTAAAAAAATAAATAAAGAAAGAATTATACTTGTAATTTATGTTGGCAGTCAGCATCAGCAGAATTAAGTTTCAGATGACAATTCGTAATTCCAATTTGCACTGTAGTTTTAATTAGTATTCCTTCCACTACCTAAATTAAATAATTTATTTAAGTACTTTAACATTACAAAAATAGCACATTTTTTTTTAAAAAAATAACCAAAATAACAAGAGATGTTATACCTGCTTTGTAGCTTTTAAATACTGCATGACAATCATCAAATATTCTGAATGTTGAACCTTGCCAATTTCTTGACTGATAAATGATTTCAATTCTTCAAGTTCATTATCCTTGTGTACGTCAATAATAATTTCTCCTCCAGGAAGTAGCCTAGAACATTTAATCCAACTATCAGAATACTTACTTCTAAATCCTAAAAAGTGTTAGATTAAGATCATACCAATTAATTTGTTATCAGAGCTTCAACAATTAACAGTTAAATGACAATTATTTTTGGATGATACTAGTATTTTAAAAATCAAATAAGTATTTTAAAAATATAATCAAAGATACTCAATTATTGTAATTGGTAAAAATATTTACTTCAACTAGCAGATCAAATAAACAAACAATTAAAGTAAGAAAAAAATTATATGGTCTTCTCTGTTTTTAACAAATCTAAATAAATGTTATGTCACTTTTATGTTAATTGCTATCAACTGAAAAGACTAACATTATTTAGAAATATATCTATATGTCGATATCTGAATTATATAGTAGACAAGAGACCATATGGATGGCAAAAAACCAGATGAATAGATGGAATCAACAAAGATGCAATAGAGCTGCATGCAGATAGCTGGAAAGAAATATCACAAGATAGGCAGATCGAATAAGGCGGTATGAGATTTACAAGATCTGTAATACCAATGTACAAAAAAAGAAAAATAATTTGAATAACATAATTATTTATAGTATCTCTCCATACATACCTTCTGTTTCCATTTGAAATGAAAAGATTACAAGAGTATTCAGTAATTTTATCTGGCCCCAACCAAGGTTGCCTGAGCACTTTGAGACTGCAGTCATACATTTGGTTGGAATTCAGTCCTATTGCTTCAAATTGATAGGAGTATTGTATTCCAGAAACAACCTATACAAATATTTCTATTATAGGTCAGATAATAATTAATTATGATTAAATGTTTATTAATATTTAAATTATTAATAGCAGAACAGAAATGTTTTTACATTCTATATCAACCAATATATTTTTAGAAATGACCTGTTAGCATTAATAATTGATACATAAATTTTAAATGATTAAAAAAAAAGTTTTTAGGTCAATTAATTTTAATGTTTCGAATATAACTTATTACAATAAATTGTAGGCAATCTTCTAAGTATTTGCTTTTTTGATTAGCTATATATTATATTAAAATTTAATTTATTAAAATAATATAATATTACCTGTTCTTGAGCATTTTTTACTCGAACCAACTCCAATTCCGTCTCAGTAACTGTTCCTTTAGGAATAACTCCCTTTAGGTCATGAAGTTTTTTACTCAAGTAATCATGGAGTTCTTGATCATGTATGTCTAAATTCTTAGGGCAGCCAAGGCATCTCTATAAAGAATGTATATAATATTTAGAATATGTATATAACATTAAGATTAATTTAAACTTGTGGTAAATGAGTCTTATATTTACTTTTCCCAGAGAGAACTGAACTAATCCTAGAAAAAAGAAAAGAATGAAATGATTTAGGCCCATTTTGGATGAATGATCACTTTGTACCTCTCAGTAGTCAAACTTGAGAGTTGCTGCCGAAGTAAGAGACAATTTGCAGACCTCACACAGGATATTTATACTGTCCTCTCAAGTATTTCATTCTGATAAGCTTTCCACTCTCACCGTTACCTGCTGATTATATTTTTTTTTTCAGAATTTATTTCCTAATATGATATATTTAATACATTTAACATAAAAATTATAGACATTCACTTATTATCTAATCAATGATTTTAATACACAAGTTCTAAATCTGGCTAACTCAAGTTTTGATAGTATAAAATTAGATAGCAAACTGGATTATTTTCTAGACATCCAATCTAATTGTGACCATACATAAGTCAAATACGTATTTCCGAGATGTTTTGAGGTTTGAATATGCTATAAATGATAAGAAGGAGGTCATAAATAAAAGGAATTAGACAGTTTCATCTAGAAGAGAGTTAGGGTGTTACAATTTATCCAACTATGTAGGCTAGTTTAAGTTTATTATATTTGCACATATATGTGGTTTAGGTGAAATAGTTTAGCTGTATTTAATATTAAAACTTATTTTATATATCCTTGTTCTCTTCTTATGGTAGTGAATAGTGGCTGATTAACACGGGCGGATCTACGGGGGGGGGGGGGGGGGGGCTTTCGGGCTGAAGCCCCCCCCCCCCCCCAAAATGGCAAAATATAACCATGTTTTATCGAAAAAAATATTTAAAAAGTATCTCTTAAAGTATTATTGTTCGTATAATTACATTTAAAAGGGCTTTAGGGATCACTTAAACACCATTTCATATAGGTAGTTAGTTTCTTTCTTTTTTTTCAAAGTAATTATCATTATTTTTATGAAAAAAAAAACTTTCGGGCTTAAGCTCCCCCAAAAATAAATCCTGGATCCGCTAGTGCTGATTAACAATAAGAATTCTTTTATTAAATATAACGTTAACATTAAGATAAACTTTTCTTTTCTTTTTTTCATCTATTTTTAAGTCGTCATTCACCTGGGCCGTTATCACCTTATTTGGTTAAGTATTAAATTTCACTGTCAAATTCCGCACGTTTCACAAAATGTAGGAGTTTATCAACAATATTCGTAATGTCTTCTAAAATGTTATGTAGGTCGTTTGGCAAGGCACAAGGTATTTTAATTGGTGCGTAACCTCAGCATTCTGTCAAAATGTGTTTTATCGTCAATGAAGCTTCTCACAAGATTGACATGTAGAAGAATCGCGGGCCATCAGGTATTAATGGGTCGGGCGTGCGTGACCTTTATGCAGGTCCAAAAGGATTACTTCCTCTCTGCGTTTATTTTATTAACCAAGAAGAAACGTCACTTTTAATTTCCCTTATTTATTTTTCAGCAACGCCTTTTCCATTTCAACTTAATTATCATTTTAGTGATGGAAATATAATCCTTGAAAGGTATTCTCCGATAAGGAATTCCTTCTGTAAGCAATTTTTTTCGCCGCTCGATCAGGCAGCTCATTAGCCGTTATTCCGCAGTGCCCTGCGACCCAATCCAACTACACTAACACGTTGTATCCATACACAAATTTTAAGGAGTATGATATAATTTGGATGATAAAGTTAGATGTGACAAAATTTCTTAAACTGATTTATGCTGATAGAGAATCTGTGCTTATAACTTGTTTTTATGTTATGGAATGAATAACATTTAGGATTTTGTAAATTGCAACTATTTTGGCTGTATAATTGCTACATATTGGCGATAGAGAGAATAAATAATAAATTTTCAATGCGCACAACCGATGCACTCACATCTGCGTAACTCTTGGACCCGTTAGTGTAGATGAAGTCAGAATCACTTATTCTGTCATGTAGTTTGAGAAATTCTTGTTTATATACCAAACTTATTTACATCTCGTAATTGAAGGTTTCCAGGAGAATATTTATAATAAAAGTTGTAAAAGTTTTTTTCCTTTTAACTTTAAAATTTTATTTGTGCATCTAATTGGAAGAAATAATGAGTGAATGTGTTGCTACGATAATTACTGACATGATTGAGTCAGGTAGAATTCAAAATTTGCTAATACCTTTGTGTTTAGATTAGGAAAGTCCTTATTCAACACTTCTTCAGCCATTGTCCATTAATTTCAAAAGTTTTGTTTGTTGCCATGGCATTATATTGAATATATGTACTAGTCAATTTCTTGACATGGTCTCTGGTAGTATTGTACCAAACACTGTTCTTATAGACTAAAGTATCCATGAGTAGGAGAAGGGGGACCGGAAACTTTCGGACTGAAGCACCACCCAAAATAGAAAAATATTTTTTTTTTTATTAGTCCATATTTGTTTTTTGTGGATTATCTGTTCTCCTTTTAAATTATAAATCATATACAACAACTAAATGTGACCAAGAGTTTAGAAAATATATAAAACAATTATCCCTAAAAGCATTACTGTTTTGCTTCCTCACTAACGATAGTAAGGAGGCATTGTATTCGGGCGAGAGGTTAAAAAAATGTCGGTTTCAGTCTGTCTGTAGTCAAATCGTGAGGGGCGGATGGGTGTCTAGATAGACCCATATCAATTTCATCATATTCCGCACTTCCACTTGCGCATGCATAAATGTGTTCGATTATTTAACTTTTGTCTTTAACAGAACATTAGGAGTGTTATGAATTGGATTTATATTTATTTTTCCACAATTTATGTTAGGTTTTGTGCAATTTATCAGGAAGTAAAACATCTTTTATTTACGAATAAAAATCATATTTGAAAAATAATAGAAGAAATGTTTTTTTACATTGAAAGTATATGAAAATAAATTTTAAAACACCCAAAATTGTGGTAAAATGATTAACTCAAAGAATTACTGAAATTTAAAACCAATACCTTCAAGTTAAGAAAATGCAGTCCATCAAATTATCACATAATTTTAAATGTTAGTTAATATGAAAGTGATTTGTTTTTAAAAAATATAATTATATTTTTTTTAACCTTAATTTTCTTCTGTAAATAGAGTGTGAGTGTGCTCTTTCAACACTATCATAAATGTCCTTAATTGTGACAGAATGTAATATTTCTGAATAAATAAATAATAAAAAAAAATGTTTTCTTCTACTTTCAGAATTTTATATCTTAAAAATTTTGTTATATATTTGTGTAAATATAATTACATTTATAGTTTAGTTTTGTTTTTTTAATATGAAAATCCGGTTCCTAGTAATGAATCATGCGAAAAGAACTTATTTTATAATTACCGCATTTGTTTTTCATCTAGATCTACCCATCTCCAATATTTATAAAACGTTAAAATATAGTTCTAGAATTAAACTTTGCTACAGCTAGCAAAGTCGAATGGATTCTCTTTATCTTGTTATAGGATCGTCAATATCTGAAGTTCCCAGTACATAAGAGGTACTTTTTAATTTCAATCCAATTGAATATGTAACACTCGACTTATTTACACAAATGGAAATGGGATTTTATGTCAAGTGTTTTCAAATGATAAAAAATTATTTATCAGATTTAACAGTTTAATTGCACCTGAATCACTGCCGTCTGGAGAGTGCCTATCTAGAATGCCGTCTCTAAACCAATTCAGTTGCATATTTCTAAGATATATAATGATTTGGCATTACAGAACATTTTTCCTTTCAGAATTTCCAAAAGAATGATCTTAAAAGGAAGGCTTTATAGTAATAAAAATGTAATTAGAATTTTTGTTTAATTAATTGTAATTTAGAACTATTGGAGGGTTAAATAGGTAAAGTGCAATAGGTAAAGGTTGAATAATTCTCCAAAATAAAAACATAAGCTATAATACAATCAATATTCGTCATATAATTATATTTTGCTACTAAGATAGTCCTGATTTTTTTAATGAAATTAATTTTGAGATAACTAGATATATACAAAATGAGGCTATAAATGTAAAGAATATTAAAACTATATATTTAAAGAAAATTAAATCTATATATTTAAACAATATTAAGGTATAAAATTAAAATTTCTTTTAGTAGTATTTAAAATTTATTTATCGATCTTTTTAATATAGCTATTTAAAATTTCGGCAAAATATATCAGCGTGTTATACGTATGCTTCAGTTTTAAAAAATCTGGTGGGCGCATCACACAACTTACTTAATGATGGGTCCTATCATAATAAGGCGGATATTATAATAGGGGCGGGTCTACGGGGGGGGGGGGGGGAGAGAGGAGGAGGCTTCAGTCCAAAAGCTCCCCCGTAGATCCACCTGTGCTCTGTACAGTTCATTGTAAGTTTTACAAGCCGTTTGAGCTTAACGGGTACATTGGGGTCTTTCATTGCCTGTTATAGGGTCTCACGTTGAATGCTGTCATAAGAAGATCTAAAGTCAACAAATAGATGGTGCGTCTGTATCTGGTATCCCCTTCGGCTCTCAAGTGTGGTTCGAAGGGCGAAAATCAGATCTGTTGTAGACTTAAATTTACGAAAGCCGCACTGATATTTTCCTAGAACTCTCTCAACATGCGGTACTAATCGTTGAACAGTATGCTTGAGAAAATCTTGTAGGCGCAAGGTAGAGAGATATGCCCCGATAATTATTCCATTCAAGAAGATCTACTTTCTTGTGAATAGGACTGTCTCATTCCATGCCCATTCATGCTTTGGAATGATTTCTTCTGTCCATGTCGAAACAAGGTTTTGTAATTCTTGGAAAAACTGATCTCCCCTTTTTTGAATAGCCCGGCAACAAGTTTGTCGATGCTTCAGTTCCTTTTCATCTGGGGGCTCGAGTTCATCTTCAGAGATTCGACTAATATTCACTTCTTACCTCTGCGCTTCCCGCACCCGATTTCCATTCAGCAATTGATTTAAGTACTTCTTGTAATAGCCCAATTTTGCCAGACCAGAATTTCTTTTCAAAGTAGAGCGGTAAGTTGTGTGATGGACCCATCATTAAGTAAGTTGTGTGAGGTAGTTGTAAGTTGCGATGCCCCCATCAGATTTTTTTAAACTGAAGCATACGTATAACACGCTGATATATTTTGCCGACATTTTAAATATTTATATTAAATAGATCACTAAATAAATTTTAAAATTTACTAAAAGAAATTTTAATCGTATACCTTAATATTGTTTAAATATAAAGATTTAATATTCTCCCCCTCCCAAAATGGTAAAATGTAACCTTTTTTTATGGGAAAAATATTAAATCATTATCTTTTAAAGTATTATTGCTCATGTAATTACATTTAATAGGACTTCAAGTATCACTAGCGGATCCAGGATTTAATTTTGGGGGGAGGCTTCAGCCCGAAAGTTTTTTTTCATAAAATTAACGATAATTACTTTGGAATAAAAGAAAGAAGCTAACTACCTATATGAAATGGTGTTTAAGTGATTCCTAAAGCCCTTTTAAATGTAATTATACGAACAATAATACTTTAAGAGATACTTTTTTAATATTTTTTTTTCGAAAAAACATGGTTATATTTTATCATTTTGGAGGGGCTTCAGCCCGAAAGCCCCCCCTCCCTCCCCGTAGATCCGCCCGTGTCAAGTATCATATAAATACTATTTCATATAGGTAGTTAATTTATTTTCTTTTTTTCCAAAGTAATTATAGTTGTGTATATCAAACAAAAACCTATCGGGCTGAAGCCTCCCCCCCCCGAAAATTAAATCCTGGATCCCCTAGTGATACCGAGTATATGGTGCAGATTCAGCGAGATCTGTCTAAGGGATTCACCTCTCATAATGGCGTTCGACAGGGAGATTCCGTAGTCTATCTGCTCTTCAATATTGGTCTGGAAAAATCTGTCAGAGAATCAAATGTTCAGACCAGTGGAACCATCTTTAATCATATGGTACAATCCTGGGATATGCCGATGATATCGACATGATTGGGAGGTCAAAAGCAGTAATGAAAGAAGCCTTTCTTGCCCATGAAAATGCTGCCAGGAAGCCAGGAGTTATTGTTAATACTAACAAAACCAAATATATGACTACTAGTCAACAAAGAGGTATTAACCAAAGTGGTAACTACTCTTTTGAACGAGTTGAGAAGTTTGTATGTCTCGGATTTTAGGTCGATACCACAAATGACGTTTCGGCAGAGATAAAGAGGCGAATAGCATCGGCCAATAGGTGTTATTTTGGACTGCGTCGGCACTTAGGAAGTAGTTCATTATCACGATCTACAGAAATAATATAATATTAGATTGTTCTGATAATGAACGCCATTTATAAAGGAGTAACTCATTCATCAGTTTATTATCTGTTGTACAATATAATAATTACCCATTAGGTTTATTCTTTTTGTGAGTAGTTTTAGTAAATTACTGCGAAATATTGAGGTACTGGTCTCCCTTCTAAAAAATATTGAGGGAGGGAGAAGAGTGGAGGGGGTCAGAAACCATGGAAACAAGACAGAAAAAAAATGGATTTCACCATGAAGACAAGGTATGAAATTAATGCCAGAGTTGTAGTGAGTTAAACTGGTGTGAGAAGCCTGGATGTCGTATTGAAAAAGAAAATTATTAGTTGACATGTTATGCATGACCAGCGTAATATGTTAATGTCAAAACCATTCTTGCCAAAAGGCAAATAAGGAGATACAATAACTAAAAAATAAAACATAATTATAATGATTGTTATAATTGTTTTTATGAATATTTTGTGTTATTAAATACTACAAATATAACGCCATATTCATTTCACGGCACTACAACCCGGTTACAGGTAACTCCCAGTATGCTGCGGGCTGGAGTTACCTGCCATCTTATCTCCGTTTATCTCCATTATCCGTTATCTCCACCACTCCATCCGACCATCTTAGCCTTCGTCTCCCTCATCTTCTTGTTCCATAGATTGGCTGAGCAAGTAATATTTTGGGCATTTCTCCATTCGCCATTCTGGCAATATGCTCCGCATATCTTAAACGCCTCAACTTCATAGATTTCACCAGATCAGCTTCTCCGAAAGCATTGTACAGCTTCATGCGCCGCTTACACTCCTCTCCAACTTACACTCCCCCGAAAACACGGCGAAGAACTTTTCTTTCAAAAATAAGGAATTCCTTTTCAGTGGCCTTCCAAGTTGTCCAGCACTCCGATCCATAAAGAAGAACGGGACGAACCAATATCTTGTAGAGGTGGAGCTTGGTCTGGCTGGAAAGTATCCGCCTGCTTAGCTGCTTGCTTCTATCCTTCTTCTTATCTCAATATCGGGGTTATTATCCTGAGTGACTACAGATCCCATATAAATGAACTCTGAAACCTTCTCAAATTTATGACTGTCTTGCCTGGCATGGGAAATTCTTCTGTTACCAATATTTAATTTTTTTGGGGGGGGGGCTTCAGCTCGGAAGCTTTTTTTCATTTACATAACGATAATTACTTTAGAAAAAAAAAGAAAAATACTACCTACCTATATGAAATGGTGTTTTAGTAATTCTTCAAGTCATATTAAATGTAATTACACGAACAATAATACATTAAAAGATAATTTTTTTTCTATAAAACTTAGTTATGTTTTACCATTTGGGGGGGAGGAGGGAAGGGAGAGGGGCTTTAGCCCGAAAGCCCCATCCCCCGTAGATCCGCCTGTGTCAGAGGTGGATATTCCTTTTCTAAACCCACTCACGTTCAGAATATGGCAAAAGATGTCCAAACAGAATATGAGATAGTATCTTATAGGCGCGAGACAGCAGCGAGATACCTCGATAGTTGCTGCAAAGCAACCTATCACCCTTTTTATGTATAGGACAGATAATTGACCAATTCCAGTCAGAGGACATCATCTCATCAATCTATATCTCAAGGAGGAGATCCTGTAGAGCTTTGGTAAGCTCGTTTCCACCTCATTTTAAAAGTTCAGCAGAGAATGCCTCAGCACCAGGAGCCTTATTATTTTTTAGTTTGAGTTTGAGTTTGAGCTGCCATCTCAGTGCATGCAGACCTGCATCTCCATCTGGGGCTTCCTTGGGAACTTGGGGTTGTATACTGTATGTGTGTGAGTGTACTGTTCCCCTAACCTGGAGGGCCTGTGGCTTAATGGGGTAGGCTCACCACTTCCCTATGCCAGATAATGCCATATCAGCATAAGTTATATTATCTACTTTATTTGCCAAAAGTATAAATCTTTTTAAAATTGCTATATAATTTACTGTTATATTTTTATACTCAAAACACAAAACATGCATGAATGATAAGGAATTATTTTATATCCCAGAATATTATGTATTGCTTAGTTTAGAATTCTTTTATTATACTTATATTATTACACTGCAAGCTCAGATGGTTTGTTACTGAGATATTAAAGAGATCCAAATAAATGTTTTAACAGACTTCTCATTGAAATAGTCAGTAGTTGTTACATGATTACTATTTTATTTTTTAATGTAACAAATGTTCTGATTTTTAGTAACTAAAATTTCTGAGCAACAAAGAAAATTAAAATAATGAATTATTATTTTATAATGAATTACTCTCTTATAATATACATAAAAATATAAGTACAGTACTTTTGATAAAGACTGATTAAATACACTTTGAAGAATAAATAATTCGTTTCTGAATAACTAATTATTAGTAATTATAATTGCTATATAATTTAAGTATACAAATCATTTAAAAGTTATTCATTTTTAATAAACATTCAAAACTAAAACATTGTCTTGTATAATAAAAGTAATTCAGCAGCAGTCAATAAGCAGTGTGAGGGTATCGGCAAGGGCGGATTTGTCTGTAGACAGATTAACTACAGGTATCTTGATAACAAAGGCCTGAGGCCATCAAATATTATACTTGAAGATTTTGGAACTATCCAAAATACATTTATTAAAAACCCCATGAAAAATCGAACAAATGAGGACAGGATGGAGTAGAGAAGAATTGTAGAGAAAACCAGGATTCATGAATCATAGCATCGTGAATGAAGATTGGCCATGGATTCATGGATCATCATTGCATTGTAAAATGAGCATTTATTTCATAATATGATCAGGGTTTATAATGTTTTGTGGATATAAAATATTGTATCTCTAAGGATAAAGCAGGTATTTAATTAAAGCAAGTTGCTGTGATTAATATTCATTATATTTCTACTTGTTTACTTGAATCGAATTGTCATTGTGATTATTTATTATTCACTAGTTCATTAGGTTCAGAAAACGGCTCTGCACATATGGTTCTAAAAAAACAACAAAATTTAGAGTATTAAGCATATGATTCTCCACCATCTCTTGAAATCATCCTTGAATATAAGCCCGCATATATTAATTTATCTGTTGAGTAAGTCAGATTAGATGACCTCTTATTAGAACTAAAGACCAACTTAGAAACATCTGGTGCGGATCCAAAAGACTTAGGATTCAAACTTTTAGAAGAAACTAATAAGTTTGGAAAAGTAAAATCTGGCATTTCTTTTGTAACAGATCTAATAAAAAGTTCATTAAATGTTGTCGAATGCAAAAAGATATCCCCAAATGATTCAGAATGAATTTTAAGTGGTTTTACGTTTCCAGTTTTCTTCCCACAACTTGTTAATGAACTGTTTACACAAGGAATGATAGCACAAACTTGAATACCTTTGGAACCGGCATCTGGGAAACCCTTTACACCATCAAATGTTGCAAATCTATACTGGTAATGATAATAAGAATCATTTTTTAAGAAAGTTAAGTCTGACATATTTAAATATTCTAGGGATTTAAATGTGAATGTTACATTGCTATAGAATTCACAGCAGAGAGAACCTTGGCACAAAGTCAACTCTAATATTTTGTTTAAATATTTAGATCCATCTGAATCAGACAACAATTCATTTTTTACTTCTGGTGTTAAAAGGTATGTTGAGTAGTTTTGGAAATTCTCAGCTTCTATTTCATGAGTGCTGTCAACTCCTGGTGATAAAGGCTCCAAAATATGACCTTCCGATTTTCCTGCAAAACGGAAATGCTTGAATTGTGAACTTCTTCAAATCTTTTAAATGTATTTCATAAATATTAAATTAACCCTTTATTATTTGTAACACGGTATGATATATTTTTTAATTTTTTAATATGTTTTTAAAGTTTTTAAAGGTATGTTATGAATTCTCTTACTTGCCAGGCAGACTCATTTCTGTAAATATAATTATTTTATTATTTGGCATATTGTGTGAATTCTGAAGTGCCTCAGAACCTTATAATGAGATAATTTATTTTCAAAACTTTGTTTCAGATTTGTCACAGCAAGAACTGTTTGAATCGACTACATTTCCTGATTACACATGCCTCTAAAACATCTGAATGTGTCATTGTAGCTTACTTTGTATTTGCTTATACCTACCACTCGTATAAAAAGTAAGTAATAGTCGTTAAAAGATGACAAACTTTTTTAAAGGAAAATTTGCATATGAATTTATTTTCACCTTTATCCATGCTAAAAATGAACTATAAAACTTGCTTTAAACCTGTAGATGAAACCTATCCAGTAAACTATGAAGATTTGCAAGAATTATGAAAATTCTTAGAAATAATATAAATATTCTAGTAATGAAATTGAATATGTACTTTAATTATTGATAGACCACTATTATATAAATACATTTTATCTATATGTTTTAGTTTATCTTTATGAATTATTTTAAATTAAAATCTATGCCATAAAAATTTATATTTCATTTTTTTAAGAAAATTAAACCCTAAGACTTCTTTTGTTTCAATTGGACAATCTCAAGAAGCACGCAATCCCCTATGGTGGCCAATTACTTTCCGTTGATGTGCTTGATTACACTCAGGAACATGTTTTTGATTTCTTTTAAGAATTCACATGACCATTGATTAGGTTCTACAAGCTGCTTATTTAATACATGTAGTCATTATCCAATTTATTTAAAGATTTGTTTTGTAATTAAGTAGTTGTTATTTTATGTTGTAATACGTAAAGAGTTAGCTACAACCTGCAAGTCGCTTCCCAATTTATTATAAAATTTTATGGCATTTAATACTAACCAGATAAGTTATTTAATTTGAACCTTAATACTTTAAGTATTAAACAAATATTTTTCATATTTGAGAAAAAAAAATTTCAATTCTATATTAAAGTTTCTATAAAATATTAAAGTTTGTCACCGATATCCCACTGATTATCACACTTCTTTGTGTTATTAATTTATATTATTGCTTACCAATTTTTCCTTTTTTAAATAACTTGGCTGTCAAAAGTCGAGTTTCATTCCTTTCGTTGATGATATTAATGGCAGGCCCTTTTCTTCCTGCAAATATTCCACTCCCTGTGCTTCCTTGTTCTAAAGAATTAACTCCTGCTGAGAGGAGGTTACTGTCTGTCATGTAAGCCCAACCGAACTGAATCTGAACAGCTTAAAACAGAAAATAAAATAAAAGTATTTAATTTAGTCATTCAAAAATAATAATAAAAGAGTTTTAAATACCACGATAAAATTAATTTTTTTTTTCATTTCATAATATGGTCATTTTTCTCAATAAAAATGCATTTAACAGTTCTTTTCTTGTTTCAATTGAGGTATGTTAAAAAATCTATAAAAGAGATCCTGTTTCTTGGAGAAATGTATTCATCAAAACATCTTAAAAATTAAAGTAAAGATTCAAGGTCATATTGGATTAAAAGTAATTAAAATAAAAGCTGAGGGAGCAATCCACATAGGCATTATATTTCATTGATATATAGTAACTATTTCGTGGATTTTAACATACCATAGAACTCAATTGGCGTGACAATTCATCACTGAGTCTAGGCCTTTTCAAGCAACTTTCACCAGTTTAATCGGTGATGCGGCTTAACATATATGATCAGTGCTTATTATCTGATACAATCACCATTTTATTCAATTATTAAAGCTATTCATAAATTTTAAAGTGTTAATTGCATGTCCTAGAAACAGTGACCAGTATAATGATCATCTACTATATTGTGTAACCACTGTTATCACTTTTAGAGTATCAAGTTCCTAAATAAATAATTCCTTCCATAGGCTTCTCAAAATCTCATTATGTTTTCCTACTTTTAAATTCTTCTTTGAAACTCTTTCTGTACCCATTAAACAATTTATTTTAATTCTCTGGCCGCTGTCCCTTCCATTTTGGTCATTAAAACTTTCCTGATTATGTGACGATTTTCTATTATTAGTAGATATGCAAACTAATAAATAGGTTATTTTCAATTTATTATAATTATTATTAAATGAGGCATAGGTAACAAAACTTGTTAAAGATTCTTTCTCAAATCAAATATAGTGCCAGTTTAAATATAGACTGGTGGGGTTGCCTTTTACATCATGGCAGATTGACAGAATGTGTTGATAAACAGTATATGGCAAGTTTAAAAAAAAATAAAATACTGCCAATTTTTCACCAATTCATTTATGTTAGAGCATACATTTCTTTAATTTGTTTTAATTTTCAAGATAGGCACTGATCGTTGCTAAAATAGCTTAAACTAACAAAAGATTATTATATTTGAAAATCGATTTTTTAAAGTTATAAATAAACTTACATAAGCCGAGTTTTAGCTCTGCATAAAACCAATTTGGGTAAACGAAATCCGTGATATTCTTTTCATAAACCAAGGTTAAAGCTGGTTCTTTGTGAAATATGTCAGCGCATATGAAGACCCCGAAGCGGACACCGAAGTCAGTTTCGAAGATAGCAATGTCAGGGACCTTGGTAGTGTTTAGGGCCTCATAGTACAAATTGAATTTCCGGTATCTGTGAACAGATTGTAATAGAAAAAAAAAGGATAATCAATTTGTTAATCCAAGAAGTTCATGAATCTAAAACTTTATAACCCATAATGTGTCGTAGAAGTTAGGGATGAAGGAAAGGCACGGAACCAGGGCCTGCCTCAGGGGCAAGCAATCGCCTGAGGCCGCTGACTGACAGGGGGGCGCCCGCCGATTGTTAAGAATTTAAAAAAATAATAAAGAGTGTTATAATAATTAAGTTTAGCCTATTAATGAAGCAACTGTATTAGAGCATATTGAATGAAATAAAATTCAAATATTAATTAGTACAATACAACTAAAGAAATTTTGTCAAGATTGCCCCAGGGCACCAAATACCTTAGGCCGGTACATCATATACGATTTCACAAGATTTCGTTTAGTTGCGCTTTTAGCGCCTAGTTTGTGGACAAACAGCAAAACCCATGAATAACTTAAAAATTATAATTTCTCAAATTTTTTTAAGAAAAGTGCTGTGGGGGTAAAATGAGGGGTTTCCTATAAAAAAGGAGTGAAACATTAATACAGAACATAAAGATAGTATAGGAAGTTAACATGCAAGAACAGTTAATATAACATACTTGGAGACAACGATGCCGTTCCTGTCGAAGACAACATTTGTATTATACTTCAGTTCCTCGCCAGAGCTCAAGTCTTTCTCAAGAAGGCAGATAGAGACGTAGATTTGGTTGTCTCTTGCTGCTTTTGACACCATTCTAACAACCTAAAAAACAAAAATAAAATAATTAAAAAAATGTTAAAATTATTCCAAATAAAAAACTAGACAGAAGTATTTTAAATTCCAGAAGAGGTGTTTCTTAGTTCTTATCTTAGAAATTTCAATGTTTTTTCAATATTTGTATATTGTATATTATTAACGCCACAGCGTTAATTTATTTTATTTTATTATTTAAATAAAAAAACTATTTAATTGACGATTCGGTATATTTATTAAAGTTTAAATATTGTTCAAAATGAAATCAGTTATTAATTATATTGTTTTTAGGCCACAGCTTATGTTGTTTATTTTCAATATAGACAAGTTCATAGCTTATATATTGTTATGGATTGTAGCCCTAGCTATCAACAAGTCCTAGGTTCAAGCCGTAAGCCCGTGAACTTGGCCAATACACAGTCTGAGACTCCGTCCATCATTGAGCTCAGTGAAAACCTCAAATTGCCTCAAAAAACCTGGCAACCTGTAAACTGCCCATTGCAGTTCTACTGTGAAGAGACCTATTTCTCTCTTGCTCGCTGATGCCCATTTGTAATTTTTTGATTATATGAGCACTCATAAAAATCTACGTTTAGTCTATCTACGAAAGGATTGCAGTCCATTTTCGTTCATTTTCTACGACCGTCACCTGCTTTTTTTGAGTACATAACATTGTACTTTTATTATTTTTTTTTGGTTTGTATCAATTTTATTTTAAAGCTTATGTATGTTTAATTGTTTCTATTAAAGATTGCAATTTTGGGCCATTTACATCTAATTTCTTTATTTAATTTCCGTAATCAAAGATCATTGTACTTATTATTAGCACCAAAATATTAGAATTAGTAACCTTAAAAATTATGAGTGACAACCGGTGTCTGGATTTTTATACTTTTCCGTATTTTGTATGCATAAATATTTTAATTAGTAATAGACATCATCACGAATCTGAGTACTCAAGTGCAATTATTCAAATTTTATTTTGCATTTTTGATATTAATTGCATATTTTGACGGTTTCAATCAAGTAAAAAATAAAAATTTGAAAAAATGAAAATGAAACACTGAAAATGAAATCCCGTACTAAAATAGAATACATTCGGTTTTATTGGACAAAACAACGAATTAATGAGCTAATTCTAAGATTGGCATCTTAGAAAACTGATTATTTTCAGAAGATTTTTCAAAATAATTTGTTTCCCTTTTATTATTTACAGAAACTGCTCGATCTGGCAAAAAGGGATTGTTAAATGAGGCAGATCCTTGAAAGGGGGTTAAACCCCTATACTTACCTATAGATATTCAAAGATCAAAAAGTCAAAATCTTTTGAAATGGAAAGAGGATTCGTATTTGAGGAGATTGTAGGCACAAGAAGGATGATGGTTGTTGATGATTGATTAAGGAATGTACCAAGGAAATATTGTCTACGGAAGAAAATGGAAAGACACCCTCAGCGGATTAGTGGAAAACACGGAAACATCTCTGTGGCCTAATAACATAATACATTTTTTTCAATAATAATATATGTTCTTTTAATTTTTGACTTCTATCCGTAGCCCTCCCCCTGGTAGTGGCACGTCATAAAGTTTGACTGAAATTCTTAAGGTCCTTCTGCAGTATTGTTCTGCTTAGAAAGCTTATTTCATCCAACGGGTGCCGTTGCAGATGTCTAAAACTAACAGGAAATATGTCAGCATATCAAATATCCCTTGCAACCTTTAGTGGCTGCAAAACGATTTTGAATTTATGAACTAATTACTAAATATCTATTTTATCTTTATCCTAGTAACTTTTAAGGTATTAATGTTTGATGAGCTACTCTGGCCTGCATTTATTTATGTTCATTTGTACTGACGATATTGGAATTGATAAAACTTTGGCTTGTTAGTTATTGATCCTTGAAAAAGATAAAGCTTAAGAATCTTGTTATGATATCTTAACAGATATTTTTTTTAATTTTGCAGATAATTTCTATCTTAACAGAATTATTGAGCTCCTAAATTAAAATATATTTAAATACTTAAAGGGTGTAGCCTTGGGTTGTCTGCTGGTGCTGGTTCATTGGAACCGAATGGGATTTCCACAAATAATGTTTCATCTTCGTAAGTCAGCGCATACTCTGGGAATACGACAATATCAGCCTGAAAACAGTTTTACGAAATTCCATCAATTCATATATGTATAAATAAATATATTTAAAAGTATATTTATTGTAAATTAAAAGTATAATCCAATCATAATATGAATAAAGTTTTGTTATATGAGTTTAGTCACTACAATTTCAATGCTATACGTTTTAAGATTTCTTCAGTGTCAGTCAGGCAGTATAGTTTAAAAAAATTTCAATGAATTTGAACAACAATTTAAATCAAATTTGTCTTGGTTCAAACCAGCAAGATATACACATGTTGCTACTTTTAGTGCAAAAATTCTATCAAACAATTTTACATGTTTATTCTCTTTGCACCAAAGGTGACATTTTGTAGTCTGCAACTGCTGTAAGTAATCTGCTAAGTAGGAACATATCAGTGGGAAATAAAGTGGATTACTAATAAAGTGGATTATGGATCACTTAAACTAATCAAAGTAACAACTTAAATACCAATTTAACTAATTTAGAATTTTTAAATTTTCGTCTATAATATACTTACAACGTTCTATTGTTTTCTCATTAATTGCTCAAAAATTAGAGCAATTTTAACTTTAAGTTTGAATCGGGATATATTGCAGATACACTTAACTATCGTATTTTTTCCTACTCCACTGCCCTAACTCATTACATTATTAATTATATTTGTATTTATAACGATAAATAAGTTATTGAATATTTAATAGTTGACCGTTGCATTATAAAGGAAGGAGATGGTCCGGAGTTGCGGTCATAAATAGGCTAAATAGTGGTAAAACTATTTTATTGGAAGCTGACGTTTGGACTCGACTTTGCAGGTCTTCATCAGGGCTAGAACGGACAAGATACAAAAAGATAGAGAATTTTGGCAATTACATTATATTTAGACATAATATATAAACAATGTGAATAAGCTTATGATGAAGACCTGCAAAGTCGGTTCGAAACGTCGGCTTTCAATAAAATAGTTTTACCACTATTTAGCCTATTGATAAATAAGTTATATTAATCATACAAAAGTAAAGTTGTTTGGTAATGAATATTGCTTTTAACATACTGAATTAATGGAAAAACTGAAGTGCAACAACTATATATGTTAATGCATCCTGACTTATCATGGTAATGCATAAAATTATCAATTTTTCAAAGATTCCTGAATCCTTATTGTTATTTAAAAGCCCTCCACATAGTCAATAATACTGAATTCTGTTTAAACTATATAAAATAAAGCACTCTAAAGTATGGTATCTCAGTTGGGAAAGTTATAAAAGCCTCTCTTGAATTTTGTTTATTATATTATTTGCCTATCCTTCGGTGGCATTTCGAGTGCTCCTCTATGTCAAGTGGTCGAATTAATATATGGCTCACTGGAGAGTGGGTTCAACTCTTGACATTCATCTAACAGCATTACACGTTCCTCTTCCAACTTTCTAAAGAAAAAAAAAAATGTCTATTTATTCAACTTAAACCAGAGATATTCTAGAATCGTAGCTGTGTCACGTCCCCAAGCGAGAAACCCCCCCCCCCTCCTCCTGAAAAATCACTGAAATACGAAAGAACCATAGAACCATGACTATATTAAGTTGACGTAACAAGATTGAAAACGGGTTTCCGGATTTATGTGAAGACTGGAGCTCTGAAAATATAGGCTTATGGAGCTTGCTATTTTACGCAGATACACTTCAATATGAGGAGAGAACGTTTCTATATTTTCATTGTAATCGACCTTCAGAGAACCGAAATATAACACTATTTCTATTCTAAACGATTTCCTAATTTTTGCCTACCTACATTGCCGAAACAATTCCCGAGCATAATAAATGTCGCATAATAAAAGCGAATGAAAATTCGGAAAAAAATTGCACTTCTCTATTTTCGCTTAAAACAGATGGAAAATTGTTAGAACCATGTAAAACTGAGTATCCATTGATGATATAAAATATATATATATATTTTAGCTACAATACATGTATATATATATATATACATATTGTAACTAAAATTGCATAAGACGCATATTTCGAGTGCGCCTCTCGATTTCTCTAGCCTCGTTGGGGAGGCACTTGCCGCACAAGACGAGTTAGACGAGCAATATTTTTTAAAATATCTGTTTCTCCGGTCAGATTCTCGTTGTTCTTGTTTGTTTGTTTGTTTCGATTTCTAGGCGCAAAACATCCAAGTCATAAGCGCCCGATCAACTAAATAACATCATTTAATACTATTTGGATGGTTGGTACAAAAAAAAAAAAAAATAATAATAAAATTAAAAAAATATAAATAAAAAAAAAAATAAAAAATAAAAATAAAAATAAAATAATAAAATAAAGAAAGAAATGGATTGATAGAATAAAATAAATAAATAAGGATAATAATAGACATTTATAGGTAATAAGATGTATAAAAAATGTATAAATAAATAAACTTTAAAAAATAGCAGTAGAGTCAATAAATGAATTGAGATTAATAAACAAATGAATTTAAAATTAAATTAAATCAAATGAAAAAAAAATAATAAGAGAAAATAGAATAAAAATAAATAGATAAAAAAAAATAAAAAATATAATTATAAATCTGCAAAGGATCATTAATTATAAGCTGTCAAATGTGTTTTTTAAGTCTTTCACTATCCAGGAACTTGATGACTTTTTGGTAACGATTTCTTCTTGATTTTCCAGGGATGTTGATATATCCCGGGGTATTCCAAAATCTTTTAATCTTGCGGTGTAAAAAGGGCATTCTTCCAAAATATGTTTTATAGTTAGTGATTGGTTACACTTTTGACATCTGGGGATAGTATCTTTTGTTATGAGGTGGAGGTGAGTCAGTCTAGTATGTACGATCCTCAGCCGCGTGAGGACGACCTCTTCTCTATGACTGCTGCGTCTGGAGCTGGTCCATGGTTGCAGGTCGTTGTTCTTATTCACGTTTGAAGGGACTAAAGCCGAAACAGATTTTGTATTTTTACATTTACGCCCTCGGGAAGTGGAAGGACTTTGTTATTTGTATATATTAGTATTCTTATAATTATACATATAATTAATTAAATAAACTTTTTGGTGAGTTAGAAAAAAAAAGTATTTTTACGTCTTAAAAATAAAAAATGATCTTTTACACATTTTAGTCATTTTTTATAATTAAGTTCATTTCATATTTTAGCGGCCCTTGAAAACAAGCAATACTGTTCGGATACATTTCTGGACACAGCATAGGCTTTTGCCGATGGCACCCTCGGCTGCTCTTCAAGCTTAAAATACATCTCCCTCAGTTCTTATACCTAGTCATTCGATCCTACCTATCGAGTATGCTGTGGAACAGAAATTTCTGAAATATCTATTCAGTTAAAGCCGGTGTTCCGCAATGCAGCATCTTGAGTCTCGTGCTTTACATCCTCTTTAATGCCGAGATCCTTGATTATTCCAATTTCTTCCTTGCAACATTTCCTGCTAACTGAGATCCCGAAACAGCATCCTTAAATCTACAAAGTCATCTCTCCCTGATTGAACACTGGTGAAATAAATGGCGGATCAAAGTTAATGAATCAACAAGCAAACATATTACCCTTACACTATACCCCTCAAGGGTAAGCGTATAATAAGGGTGGACTCAATTCCTGTCCACCAGTATACTTTAATTTCATCCAACTTCCTTACTCAGACTCATTTCGGTATCTTGGCTTTATCTTGGACGGACGACTAACGTGGAACCCACGCGCTAGACTTAAAAGACAATAAATCAACCAACGATATGACCAGCTATATAGACTATTAAACAGAAAATATAAACTTTCAATTGACAACAAATCACTAATGTAAAAGATAATAATGAAACCTTATTTGGACCTACGGACTGGAACAGTGGGGGACAGCAAAATTGTCTAACATCGAACGCATTCAATATTTTCAGTCCAAAGTCCTTCGAACAACAGTCGATGCTCCATTATATGTAACTTACAGAATCTTACACCATGACTTTATTATCCCATTTGTCCTAGACCTTATACCATAAAATTTTTCCAAGTTGCATCAAAACCTCTCATATCATCCAAATTCAATTTCACGATCCCTATTTAGTTCCATTCATCCCTAAAATCCTTCTGGAAGGTTGAAGCGGAAGTAGCCCAGAGACCTTTTGCAAATAAACATATATTTGAGTTCTGGTGATGGCCAGATTCTCCACTCAAGCCAAGCACGTTTGATTAGCGTCTCTGCTCAATCTCCACTTGTCCTTAATACCAATGATCTGGCTCAATGAGAGGCGCTGGGATCTTCTAGGATTCGCCTTTCCTTCCATGAGTGGGGGAAAGGTTCTGTTAGGAGTTTCCCTCTTTATAATTACAGATTTTGTAAATATTGTATAAAAGTATGTTTGTATTTAAGCTGTAGTTTTGCTTAGTATATTATTTTTTTGTTTATATACATTTAGGCCCTCCGCTCACGAGGCGAGAAAAATCAAGGAGAACTGTGAATCATGCTCGTCTTGTGCGACAACTGCCCCCCAACGAGGCAAGAAAAATCGAAAGGCGCACTCGAACTATGCGTCTTATGCAATTTTAGCTACAATATATAGATATAAATAGCCTGGAGGAGGTCACCCAGCCTCACGTTGCTACGAACCATGGTTTCCATGGTGCAGCGGCAGGCCACCCGTAGCTCCATAGCCGATCCCTTTGGGGCCAATCTGGCAATGTCCTTCCAACCGACTACCCCTGCCCCCGTTATATATATATATAATCTCGTGAATGGATACTCAATTTTCATGAATTTTCCGAATTTACATGCGCTTTTTCTCTGTTATCTATCTTGTGAATAGATGCTAGGATTTTCATTGTTCCAACCATTTCGGAACTGTCGGAGATGTAGGCCAATGGAAACAGTAGTGGTACAAATTTTCCGAATTTTCTTTCGCTTTTCCTCTATTGTTAGGCGAATAGACTCTCGGTTTTTCATCGTACCAAAAATTTTCAACTGTTTAGAGTTTTGTGAAAATGTGGAAAAACTGCAAATCTTTTCCAAATTTTCATTTGCTTTTCCTCTTTTATCTCGGAAGTGAAGGATCGGTTTTCTAGTGTTCCAACCATTTTTCGCCATGTAAAAGTAGGAATAGAAAATAGTGTAGAGAATTTCCCTTCGCTTTCCCTCTTTTATTTCGGGAATGGATGCTCGGATTTTCATGGTTCTAACCATTCCCGAACTGTTTAGAGAAGGCCAATGGAAACAGTAGTGATATAAATTTTCCGAATTTAGATTTGCTTTTCCTCTTTCATTACCTGAATGGACGCTAGGATTTTCAATTGCAGCTAAAAATATTTTTTAGCTGATTAGGCGAAATTAGGCGAAAATTAGTGAAACATTGCAAAGATTTTATGAATTTCTTTCGGTTTTTGCACTTTTCTAACAATGTTTTCGGCAGTTTAGAGGTAGGCGAAAATGGGGAAATGATATAGAAAGTTTTCCGCTCGGTTTTTCGTCTTTCCAATAATTTTCCAACTGTTTAGAACGGTTTACATCTAAACAGTTCGAAAATGGTTGGAACTCTGTAAATCCTAGCATTCATTCAAGAGATAAAAGCGAATGAAAATTTGTTATACTATTTTCTTATTTTTTGCCTGCTTCTACATAGCCGAAAAAATATTTTAAGTGAAAACCAAGTCTTAAATCCGTGGTTTAAAAGGATTAATATATATATTTTGTAGCTAAAATCGCATAAGACGCACAGTTCGAGTCTAACTCGACTCGATCTTTCTCGTTGCGCTGGGTAAGCAAAATTTGCACAAGCGAGTTTTGACGAGCATGACGCATAGTTCTCCTCGATTTATCTCGCTCCGGAGAGCCTTTGTTTCAGTTATATTATTTTGCTGTTTAATTTATTTTTATTAATTACCATATTTATATTATTTATTAAATACATAAAGTGTGAATGTGCTGCCTAAACACTATTATAAATGTCCTTAATTTAGAGAGGTTGTAAGATTTCTCAATAAACAAGTTTTATGAATTAAAAAGAAATCTTAACATCTGTCAAAAATACTGACAATCAGTGAATCCATTGTTGGGAAGATTATTAGTATTCGCATTCAATCTAATTTTTTTTATAAACTAATAGTTATTTTGTATTGTAACCTGGAATTTGACTGGCTGAAAAGGTTTTAGGCATGTTATGTTAATAATTATAAAATTGTAGTAAAAAAAAAACTTCTTACTAATATGGTAACTTAAGAAACAAGTATGAAAACATGAAGCTTTATAACTTTAACCAGTGAAAGTATAATTTTATTTTATATCGAATTAAATTTACTTGCACTATATTCTTACAATAAACTCTTAGAACAAATATATAAATAAAATTCAACAAGTTACTGTTTCCGCAGCTTTCTGGATGAGTCGTACGTATTCCACGCCATTTTTTATCATGGTGTCATTTCCATCTGTTCCCTCATGAGGGCAGTACTCAACAACAGCTGCATGGTAAAAATCCTCTTCTGGGCCAGTCTGTAACACAATTTATATAAATCCATAAAAGTAAATTTAAATGAAATGAATAAAACAGTAAAATGGTATTCTGTATCCCTTCACGCAGGTGATATAGCTGTCCTTGGAAGTAATCACGAGGGCTTTGAGGAACTCGCTACAACACTGATAAGAGAGGCAGAGCAGATCGGCCTACAAGTAAATGAAGACAAAACAAAATATACGATAATATGCTGAAAATTCTCCCCTCAGGATCTGCTTAGAAGGAAAATCATTCTCGAGAGTAGAAAAATTCAATCCTCCTGATTGAATCCCTGCACACTAACCAGCACCCTAGAAAAAAGTGTTGAACGATTTGAGAGAAAAATCCTCTATACGATAACCGAAGCGATCTTGGATGAGAGTACTAACACTTGAAGAAGAAAGACCAATAAAGAATTGCTTACAGAAACTGGTTAATCAATATTCACTGATATGAAGGCACGGAGGTTATGTTGGGCGAAGCAATCCATCTTGAAGCCTCTAGGTAACAATGAATGTCTCAATAGAAGGCAAAAGACCAAGTGGAAGGCCAGAAGGCAGATGGTTAGATAGAATCAACAAAGATGCAATAGAGCTGCGTGCATATAAATGAAAAGAAATAGCCCAAGACAGGCAGAGATGGAGCAGCCTTGTTAAGGCTTCAAAACATGATTTGTAATGCCAATAGAAAAACAATATCCCTACATCATCGCGAGTTCCTTTTCATCCAATCAACAAAATTTAGTGAGTTTATCAGTTCACCGTTTCCACCGTTTTTCAGATTTAATTTAAAACGTAGATTTTGGAAGAACTACGTTATCAAAATATTATTTTATTTTACTATGGTACCTTACAATGCTATTCTTAGAATATCCTACAACTTCAAGCTTCTTGGAGTACATTCTTTGTTCATCTTAATTAAAATAAATTCATAGTATTAACCAAATTGGTTGAAAAAAGATTTGTTCAAAAAATATTGTCGGAAAACATAAAAATAATGATTTAGAAATATTAACATTAATATTAATTATTAGAAATATTAATTATTATTTATAGAATGTTATGGTTGATATCCTGAAGATAAAAATTAAAATATCCACAATGAAATATAAACCATAGCGTTTATAAATTTTACATTCACTTCGCCTTTGTCTGAAAATACTTATTTCTGCTAAGAGGGTGGTAAGAGAAACTTATGTGATTCACGCACTGTACCAGATTTTTAATCTTGTATCGAGACAGATGAAATTATTGTAAATTGAAATTGACGAACTACAATATGACACCATTATAGTTATATTTTCCAACAGTTAAAATTTACAAATATGTGTTCGCTCTTTTTTAATTTAATATTTCAAACTATCCACTAACTAGACTTAAAAGACAGCAGCTTAACCGATGATATGGACCAGCTATATAGACTATTCAATAGAAATTCTCAACTTTCAGTTGACTACAAATTACTGATCTACAAGAAATTCTTTAAACCTATCTGGACCAACGGACTGGAAAAGCATTTAATCCAGTCTAAAGTTCTTCGATCGATAGTCGAATAGGAAGTCCTTCTATGTAACCAATAAAATCCTCCATAATGACCTTCATATCCTATTTGTTCTTGACCTAATCCAATACAAATTTTTCAAAGTTCCCCAGAACCGCACTCATTATCCTAATCCTGTAGTAAAGTTTCTATATAGTTCCATCTATCCCTACAATCATCCCCGTAGGATAAAATGGCAGTGGCCCCGCAAACTGTATGTATATATTGGAGTTCTGGCAATGGCAGATTCTCCATTCAAGTCCTGAGCGTCTGTTGCTCTAATGCTCTCCTTCAGTTTCCACTGGCGTCCAATACCAGTGACGCTGGGAAAGAAGCACTGGGATCTCCTGGGGTCTTGTTTTTGCTTCAACAAATGGGATTGCTTGATTCATAGTCCCTTTCGCCAATGTAAACATTGTACATTGGTGTGAATGTATTTTATTTATTTTATTATCATTCAGTATAAATCTATTATTTTATTTATCTTGCATACATGTATGTTAATTTTCTTTATCTTATTTACTTTTTTTTTAATTTATCTATTTTATTTATTTATTTTTTAATTATAGTTATTTATATTTATTTTCCCTTCGTATGTACATATTGAGTAAATGAATACTGTAGCCCTTCAGTATGGCAAATTGTATTAACATGCAATAAAATTGTAAATTATTAATATATAGGTATATTAAAATTATAAGTTTAAAGCCATTTAAATGCTGTAAAATGTTGAAAATAAGCTAATAGGAAATATATTATCAAATATATTGAACTATTACCTTGACAGCCAGAACGGGAGTGATTAAGATGAGGAACAGAAAAATATCCATGTATTCCGTTGAACAGTCCCTACAATAACCATAGAGTATACTCAACCGCTGTCTCAAATAAATATTCTTTCTTGTTATGTAATAGTAAATTGGTTACATAATTATAGATAATACATCTCCCATTAATTCACAAACTATTAATACTATATCAAAATTTAGAAATTCTTAAGATTGTGGTGTTCATAATAAAATATCTTTACTACAGACCATGACCCGATTATCATGAAGGCAACCTACACTGTATATGATAAATATTATAAAGTTTTTTTGTTTTTTTGAGTATTAATACAGTCTGCCATACTGAAGGGCATTGGTACTAGAGCTATAGTATTCATTCACACAATATGTACATAAGAAAGGAAAATAAATATAAATAACCAAAGTAGAAAAAAAAAAGATAAAGTAATATACAAAATAAATAAAATAACAGATTAAATCCGAATGGTAGTGAAATAAATAAAATACATTTACTCCTAATTATAAATGTACAAACGAAATATGATGTATCAGATAATTTATCCTGAGCAGTTTAAAATACTTTTCGTTTGAGCCACTGCAAAACTGTCAAGGTTTGTTGAATGATGCTACGAAGTAACTCAGTTAAACAATAAACATTTATTGGGTGAAACTATTGATTATATATATATATATATATATATATATATATATATATATATATATATATATCACTAGTTTGGAAAAAAAACTGTTTACATAAAAAATAAATAAATGTATAAACGGTGATAATTATTGCATGGTTAAAAATTAGATTAATACTATTAGTTATGCTATATAAGTTTTAGTAAAAAGACAAGATTAATGAGGTAAATATAATATTTTTCTATGGTTAAGGCAAGTAAATTTCCATTTTTCTTTAGTATTTTTCTTTTCTTTAGTATTTTAGGTATCACATCTATTATCTCTGACGTTTCGGAACAATTTTCCCACCCTCAGAGAATCCTTCATGTTTACTGAAAATAGATTTTTTTTTTTTCGGTTGGCGCTATAGACCATGAAGATCTTTGACCGCGAGTGTGGTCTCCTAGACCACATCCCGATTCCCGATTTAAAGTATGGAGTAGGATCATCAATCCTACGCCCGGTCGGTGTGAGTTTCGTCAAGTAGTCTGAAGGGTCTCACATATCCGTGGGGGAGGAGGGGGAAGAATCTCGGGTAGTGTGGAATCGGGGCTTTCCTTGGTGGACGGTCACTCATCCAAGTGCTTAACTTTTATTATCTATTGCAAGCGTCTTAGCCGGCAAGGGTACCCAAGCCCCAAGTGAAAATATACATATTTAAAATTACATTGTTAATTTACTCTATTTATTGTGTAATAATTTTTTTTATTTATTTTTTTAAAATCTATTTATTGAATAATAATACAATCAGCCACTGCTGGAGGGCTATAAGCATTAGGGCTAAAAGTTCTCATTCATACAATTTATACAAATAATAAAGAAATAAATATAAATATAAGAAGTAAATATATAATACTGATGAAGAAGGTAAATAAAAATAAAAATAAAAAATAAAAATAAACAAATAAAATAAAATAAAAACTTCTAAACACAATTATAACTATATACAATATATACATTCGCCCAAGAATCTCCGAGCCAGGCTTTTCCTCCCACACGCGGAAGGCAAAGCAAGGCTCCGGAAGATCCCAGTGCCACTTTTCCAGCCGCATCACTAGTATTAGAAGCCAGTGGAGACTGAAAGAGGGCACTACAGCCACAGACGCCCAGGACATGAGTGGAGAAGCTGGCCATTGCCAGGACTCCAAAGGCATATTTACAAAAGATCTCGAGGCCACTGCCCTTTCAACTTTCGAGGGGGATGGTATGGATGCTCGGAGCTGGATAGGGATTGCGCTGGAGGATTGGGATGATGAATGAGGTTCTGGTGAAAGTTGGAGAATCTGGATGGGATGATGTCATGGACATATGGGATGTTAAGGTCATGGTGTAGGATCTTGTTCGTGACATAATATGGAGCATTGACTATTGTTCGAAGGACTTTGGACTGGAAGGATTGGATGCGTTTGATATTCGATGATTTAGTTGTCCCCCACAGTTCAAGTCCATAGGTCCAGATAGGTTTCAGTATGGTCTTGTAGATTAATAATTTGTTTTCTGTTGAGAGATGAGATGTTCTGTTTATTAGTCTATATAGCTGACCAAATCGTCGGTTAAGCTCTTGTCTTTTAAGTCTCGTATGTGGGTTCCAAGTCAGTCTTTTGTCCAGAAGGAAGCCAAGGTATCGGACTGTGTCTGAGTAGGGAAGAGGAATTGAATTAAAAAGGATTGGCGGACAGGATCTGCGTCGAAGAGTGAAAGTTACATGTTTGCATTTTGATTCATTAATTTTGATGCGCCAGTTGTTGCACCACTGCTCAATGAAGGAGAGGTGTCTTTGCAGCTTCCGGGACGCTATTAGAGGATCCGAGTGGGAGGATAGGATGTCAGTATCATCAGCAAATGTTGCTAGGAAGGTATCAGGACTTGAAGGGATGTCAGCGGTGAAAAGGATATAGAGAACTGGGCCCAAGACACTGCCTTGTGGAACACCAGCCTCAATTGGACAATGTTTGGAGAATTCAGTGCCGCAGCGGACTTGAATGGAGCGATTTGAAAGGTAAGATTTGAGGTACAAGGGTTGAGGTAAATGGGTTTTGAGCTTGAAAAGCAAGCCATCGTGCCACACCCGGTCGAAAGCTTGAGCTACGTCCAGTGCAATATTGCTTGTTTTCAAGTGCAGAGGATTTGTGGTCCACAACGCGAAGGCCTTGTTGGACCACATACCGTTGTGCGGAGGATACAGTTGAATAGGTATGTAAGGAATATAATTGCTTTTTTGGGAAGTTGTCTGAGGATCTGGGAAGTAAGGAGATCGTGTCTTGGAGATTTGCGAGGTTTTAGGTTCTTTAAAAGGAATTTGACCTCAGAGGGGTTGACGGCTGTAGGAGGTAAGGAGAGAGGAATCGATGAAGAGAGGAATTCTTTAACTTCAGCAGTATGGGAGGGATGGAGTTCAGGATGAGGAGTGAATGTGTGCGATAGATGTTTAGTAAACTCTTCTGCTCTATTCTCATCTGACCAGGCCCAGGAACCATCATCACGGCGGAGGGGGTGGGAAACAGATTGGAAATTAAGGATTTTTTTTGTTACATTCCAGAGGGAGTTATCACTTGCAGTTAGTGAGAAAAGATAGGAATTATAGGATTGGGATCTAAACGTAGCCAGTTTTTGTTTTACCTGCTTGGAATAATAGTTATATGATTTCCGATCATCAGGATGCCTGGTTCTTTGCCAGATGGTCCAAGAGCATCGTTTCCTATTAATAAGGTCCAGTAGGTCTTGGGGTAGAGGATTTATTTTGCGGTATTTTTTAGAAGGATCAGGTGAAGATGCAGTCCAAACTGCTTGTTGGATCAAGGTAGTCATGGAATATACTGCTTAATCTAGGTCTGCAGGTGTTTTTAAGGAAACTCTGAGGTCAATATTATCATCCAGTATTTGACGGAAAAGGTTCCAATTAACTGGCTCCCTGATAAATGAAGGTGGAGGTGGTTTGGGAATTGGTGATGTGGAGACCGTTAGGATTAGGGGACTGTGGTCTGAGGAAAGATCATCAAGTCTTGAAATGCTATAATTAAGGGACCCTAGACCTTTGTGGGTGAAAAAATCTAGGAGATCGGGATTGCGGTTAGGATCTGTTGGCCAGTATGTGGGAGAATTGGGTGAGAGGATGTTGCTGTGATGGGAATTAAGTGCAGATAGCAATGTTCGCCCTCTGGAATTTGTGGTTCTGGCTCCCCATTGCTGGTGTTTAGCATTTAAGTCTGCACCTAGAAGGAAGTGGTGTCCTAAGGAGTTAAGGAAGGAAGTTAATTGGGATTCTGAGATAGGTATTTTAGGCGGAGAGTATGCTGCGACTACTGCTATTGGGTAAGGAGAAGTTTGGATTATCACGGCAGTGGGTTGTAAGAAATTATGGGTCAGCAAAGGGAATAGGTGATGGGAAAGGGATTGATGGACAATTATGGCAGTGCCAGCATGTGCTGTTCCATCAGGATGGTCGGTTCGATAGATATGATAGTTGGGGATGTTAAGTAGTCGTTTGTTGATAAGTCGAGTTTCAGTTATTAATGATATATCAATGTTTTTGTCCTGTAATAAGATTGTTAGCTCGTTGATGTGATTTCGAATACCATTCGCATTCCAAAGGAGAACGGAGAAGGATTTGATTGGGGACATTTAAGGATTTCTCGGCAGTGGGATGAGGTTGGATACAACATTGGTAAGTAAGGAAATGAGAGGAGTGATGAGTGATCTGAATTCAGAGAGAAAAGAAGTCAATAGGCTTGTGAGGTCAGTGGCATTGGGAGGAGGAGGAATGAATGCCTGGTTATTAGGCCTAGGTTCAGAGATGGGATAAGGGTCTTGAGGTTGAGATGTGAATACTCGAGGTTGAGGTTCTTGTGGCAGGGCCTGAGTTTGTGTGGGAGCAGTGTCTCCTTTGAATATCTGAGCATAGGACACTCTTGTATTTAAAGTTCTAGAGCGTTGTCTTGGTGGCCTGGATGGCCGTTCTTCTCTTGGAGCTGAATAAATTCTTGCTTTTAGTTCCTTATATGTTTGGCAACCCTTGTAGTTCGCTGGGTACCCTTGATGGCATAAAGCGCATACTGCTGGTGTGCTTCTGGACTTCTGGCAGTCCTCTGTTTTATGTTGATCACCGCACCTGACACATCTAGGAATGTGGTGGCAATAGCGTTTCGTATGACCACAAGCCTGGCAGTTATGACATTGTATAATGTCGCGCTTAGTGCAGGGCTTTTCTACAACAACGCTAGTGTAGTAAAGGCGTGTGACCTTGTAGATGTCTTCGACCTGGGGCGTTCGGTCAAGGTCAACGAAGAATAGTGGGAGCGGTATTTTATTTTTTGAGCCAGGCTGTTCTCTATCTTCCTTGAATATATTCACTATTTGGCGAA